GCGGGCCGCCGGCCGCCGGCTCTCGGCCCGCAGGACTGGCCTGCACCTTGGCGGTGCAGACCCGCCGCCCGCGGGGTGTCGCTTGCGCGCGTGCGTCAGCCACCCTCATACCTGCTGCCGAGGACCAGTTCTTGCACCGGGTGCGTGGCCGGCCTTCGCCCTGGAGACCCTGGAGGACATGCGGTGAAGGGGTAACGTAATGAAAAGTTGTGCGGCGGGCTGGGAAGGTGGCTCCGTGGTAGAGCGCTTGCCTCGCATGCATGAGGCCCTGGGTTCGATTCCTCAGCACCACATAAGCAAAAAGAAAAAAGCCGGAAGTGGCGCCGTGGCTCAAGTGGTAGAGCGCTAGCCTTGAGCTGAAGAGCTGAGGGACAGCGCCCAGGCCCAGAGTTCAGGTCCCCACGACCAGACCCCCCCCCAAAAAAAATAAAAATAGTTTCAACTCCTGTGCTTGCACTTTGCCCAAGACTCGATAAGGCTTACTTCCTCTTGGAATAGGAGTGGAGCAAGAACTGCTTCGTAAGGGTTTCACTATATGCACGTGTCAGACACCACCCTGAAGATTGAGTTGTATCCCCAGAGGGGCTTTTATTTGCCCTCCCCCTTCGCTTTCCTGACTTCCTTCTTTGCATCATAATCAGCACTTCTCACCGGTAGCCTTTTGACAAGTGTTTACTTGTGATGGAATCTATGACTTGTAATATTAACACATAAAGCTGCGAGTCTCAGCTGTCAGACATTCAGCCGGTGACATTTTATTAGTGGCTATTTTGTGCTCCATGTTATGCTGTAGATCTGTGTTTTACATTGCACCAGCCATGACCACAGGTGACCTTAATTTAAGTTCAATTTAAATGTTTTGTTTAGTTTCTTAGTCCTACGGTTGTGTGGGTCATTTCCGCCGTGGGAAGGGCTGTTGGGTGTCACTCTAGACCTTGAGAATGTGAAGGTGATGTGCCAGGCTACTCAATGCCCTGAGAGGAGAAAGATTCCTGAAATCTTTTATCTCAGATCAGAGTGACTGGCTGGTTTTGCCTGGGATGATTATTCATTCATTGGGCAGATCACACAATTGACATTTGAGCCCTGGGACCAGTTACTTTATAAACAAGTCTATAACTTGTCCAGCAGAAAAGTGCCACGGGGAAGTTAGAGCTGGGTTGTAGAGCTTGGCGTTACTATACTGTACGTAGTGGTCTAGGAGCCCTGAGAGTCTGGAAAGAAGGCTGCTAGGCAAGGAGGCCAGGGTAGCTGGATCAAGGTATGTGTGGTGTGTGTATGAGCAAGGAGGCCAGGGTGGCTGGAGCTGGGGTGTGTGTGTGTGTGTGTGTGTGTGTGTCTGTCTGTCTGTCTGTCTGTCTGTCTGTCTGTCTAGCCTGCGAAGCTTGGTCAGTTTGGAAGCTGAATTCCTATCCTGCCCTGTCTGTCTTGAAGGCCGGGAGAAGGATTTTCATCTGTCTTTGCTGAGAGTGGGAGGAAATGTCCTGAGTTTCTTTGTTTTTGTCGTCAGTTATGGGGCTTGAACTCTGGGCCTGAGAGCTGTCCCTCAGCTCAAGGCTAGTGCTCTACCATTTTAGCCAAGGTGCCACTTCCGTTTTTTGGTTTTTTTTTTTTGGTGGTTTATTGGAGATGAGAGTTTCATGGCTTTTCCTGCCCAGGCTGGCTTTGAACTGTGATCATCAGATCTCAGCCTGCTGAGTAGCTAGGATTACAGGCATGAGTCACCGGTGTCTGACTTGTCCTGAGTTTTGAGTGTAGTGGTGGTTCTCAAAACTGCAGAGCTTTACATTAATCTGATAACATTCTAGTTCCTACACTTAAACACATATGACTAGTCACTGTAAGACATACCTTCAACTCCAGACATCTTGTTCTTTAGAAGCCTATGAAGAGGGTGTGGGAGCTGGGATTCAGTAGTCATGCCCATAATCCTGGCCGCCCAGGAGCCTGAGATCTGAGGAATGCAAAGCCTAACATGGCACTGTGGCTCAAAGTGGTAGAGCATTATCCTTGAGCACAGAAGCTTGTGGGCAGTCTCCAGGCCCTGAGTTCAAGCCTCAGATGGGCACACAGAAAGGGGGGTGGGTGGGAATAGGGCAATGGGCATAATCTAGGTAGTAGAGCTCTTACCTACAAACAGGGGGCATGAGTTTAATCCCTAGTACTACCAAAAAACAGCAACCAAACACACACACCTTCATTAATTGGTCACAGATCAGAGAGACTTCATAATTACAAACCACATTATTTGGAAGACTGAATCAATCAATGTAGCTGAGAGTTCTATCATTATATATAATATATATGAGTTATATCCATTTGTTCAGCATAGACACATACATATTGAGGTTGTTGTTTTTTCTGGAAGCAGGGTTTTGCTATATAAAACTGGGCTAGGATTATGATGTGTCACCACAGCTGGCTGATCTACATTGTGTGTGTGTGTGTGCGCGCGCGCGCGTGCGTGTGTGTTTGTGTGCACGTGCATGCATGCATGTGTGTGCGCGCACGCACATTCGTGCGCATGTCCAGTCCGGGTCTTGGCACTCAGGCTAGGGACACTGTCCCTTAGCTCATTTACTCAAGGCTAATGCTCTACTAATTGAGCTACAGCTCCACTTGTGGCTTTTTTTTTATTTTTTGGTAGTTAGGGCTGGCTTCAAACTGAGATCCTCAGATCTCAGTCTGGGTGTCTAGGATTATAGATGTGAGCCACAAGGAACATGTGAACACTTTGTTTTTTTAATTACCAACTCACCGATTGCAGCCGCCATTCCCTTTGCCCTTTCTCAAGTCTGGTGACACTCCTTCTTATGTGTAGCGCGACTCCTACTGAGCAGTGAGTGCTGCAGTGCCAAATGACTTAACTTTTGCAAAATACTTTTGAGGATCTTTGTTCCCAAATTCAGCAAAAGTATACACAAGTGCTACTGAGTTAGGTCTTAAAGGACTGCTCTGGCTGCTCTGTGAAGAGAACCTGCAGAGCAAGGGTAGGATTGCAGAGGCTGAATGGGTGATCAGTGCAGTGGTTCTGTACGAGGTGCCTGATGGGCGGTGTGAGTCAGTGATGTCAAGGCAGCTGGCCAGTCTGTCAGTGGCTTGACGGTAGAGCCGGCTGGTGAGTTCTCGACAGGTTGAACCTGTGAAGCAGAAAGCTGCCTTCTTGGGGTTGGGCGTGAATCTCGGGATGGAAGTGCACCCCTCCCCCCGGGGGCAGGGGGTGGGATATGGGAGGATCACTCAGATGCCTGGTCCAGATGCTGTGTCTGAGATGTTAGTCAGCCCCTGGTCCACAGGAGGTGGGAGTGACTGCTGTGTGTAAGTAGAAGAGATGTGACCTCTGAGTGTCTCCAGTGTGTGGAGGTAAGGAGGAGCAGGAGAGCTGGGAGCAGAAGGTGAGGACTGAGGAGCGGGGAAGGTGACAGCAGGGAAAGGGGGCAGTGAGTGTGGAACGGCTTTCCTGCTTTTTTGTCTTTCTGTATGCTACTACTATTTTGAAAAGGGAAGGAGGGGATACTGGATTTAATGTGATCCTTTCTCCTGCCGGCAGTGGCCTGGCCTCCACTTGGCGCACTGCAGCGGTCCTGGGGCCCGCTCATGGACATGCCCAGGTGGATCTCCTCATTCATCCGTGGTGTATGTGTGTGTGCGCGCATGTGCGCGCGTGTGCGTGCGCACGTGACCTGGACAGGCACTGGGGCATACACTAGGGCAGAAGAAGCTCAAAGGGTGTGGAGGGTGACCTTGCCCCCTGGGACTTGCTCTTCCTCTGGCTTTTTCTTTTTGGAGGGGAGGTGGTCATTTAATGTGTCTGTATTTTTACTCTGAGACCTAACTTAAGAGATGAACAGTTGGTTGGTTTCCTCCTCCTGCTGGAGAAGCAGTGGCACATTTGGTGGCAGACCTGGAAGGTCAGGGGTTTTGACCGCCAGCTAGTCTGGTCTAGGCTTCCTTGCATGGAAGCATTCTAGAGTTTTCTCAGTTAGGAATCGTGAATATCTGTGATTTGTTTCTGTGCCCCAGGGCACAAGTTGTCTGTTGGTAGATTGATTATGTGCAAATGGAATCATGTGTCATAACCTTTCCTTTTTAAGGTTACCTCATGGAAGATCAAAATAGGAGGGGAAAGATCTCCTGTTATACAGAGGACCACTCTGTTCTGTTGCTGAAAGAAATAAACGTTCTATTGAAAAGGCACCATTCATTTAACTTAGGAACAATAGGGTGATTTAGGTTTGTAGATTTAGGAAAAGTGAAGGCAGTCTCATCATTGTATACTTCCATTCATGGTGAGCCACTTCCATTTTAATTGCAAATAAAATTGGACGCATACTTTATGATACACAATCCTTTTATAGATAGAGGTTGTAGAATAGCAAAATCAAGCTAATTAACAGTTCTGTTTTTTAAAATGGACCAGATCATTTATTAAGTGCTGAGTGAAAATTTTAGGGTTTATTTTGTTCTATATTATTAAAGTATACATACTGTATATTATTTCTGACAACACTTATGTCTTTGTGTGTGTGTGTGCGCGTACGCTGGTCCTAGGGCTTAAACTCAGGGCTTAGGTGTTGTCCCTGTGCTTTTCTCCTTAAGGCTAGTACTCTACCACTTTGAGTCACAGTACCACTTGGGTTTTCTGGTGGTTAATTGGAGATAAGAGTCTCTCAGACTTTCCTGGCTGGGCTGGCTTTGAACCACAATCCTTAGGCCTCAGCCTCCTGACAAGGATCACAGGCGTGAACTACTTGTGCCAGGCAACCTAGGTCTTTTTTTTTTAATTTTTTAATTTTTTTTCATTTATTGTGAAAATACCGTACAGAGGGGTTAAAATTACATGGGCAAGGTAACAGGAAAGTTTATTCCATATTTTAAACCAGATGATCAGTTTTGACATTACTGGAAATCAGAATGGGTGAATTCCAGCAGAGTTTTAAAGATGTTCCAAGTGGTCTGTGTTACGGCTAGAGCACTTACATTCTGTCTGCTTTTCATGCTGCGTAAGGACCCAAGCTGGCTGCTCAGGTAGGTGGTGGAACCAAAGGTGTTGCTACCTGAGGCTTCTGCACCCCCCCCCCCTTCTGTTTCTCTTCTAATGCATATCATAAGCTTGTGGTCTTATCTATTTATTGGCTTATATCAGTTATAAAGGGGGGTCATTGTTAACTCTTCCCACATTTGCGGTTTTATTTTTTAAGTGTATGTGGTAGTATAGGGTAGAAATTTATATTTGGGGAATAGAAGTCCTTGTATATTTCCAGATTTTTTTCAAACAGCTGTTGATAGATTTGTTTTTAGCCTCATTAGGCTAAAAGGGACAAGTATGCACTAGTAGCACACTTAGTCATCTGAGCGTTTCCACTTAGTCTTCACTGTATTTTAAAGCATGCATTGTGAGTTGTACTTTTTCCTACATAATGTGGCTAGAATTTGTATACTGTGCTAGAATAAATTACTTCAAACACTGTTTTTACCATGGTTGAGGAGTGCCCAGCTCCTGCCTTGAGTTGGTTTAGATGAACTGCTCAGACTGGAAGCTGTGCTGCGCTCCTGTCCAGGCCCCTCCTCCAGCTGTCCTGTCTTCTGCTGCTGCTTCTGGTCATCACCCAGCCGTCCCGCTGCCCCCAGCCTGTGTCCCGCTGTCCCAGCCTGTGTCCAGCCGTCCCGCTGCCCCAGCCTGTGTCCGGCCGTCCCGCTGCCCCCAGCCTGTGTCCGGCCGTCCCGCTGTCCCCAGCCTGTGTCCCGCTGTCCCAGCCTGTGTCCAGCTGTCCCGCTGTCCCAGCCTGTGTCCAGCCGTCCCGCTGCCCCCAGCCTGTGTCCGGCCGTCCCGCTGTCCCAGCCTGTGTCCAGCCGTCCCGCTGTCCCCAGCCTGTGTCCGGCCGTCCCGCTGTCCCAGCCTGTGTCCAGCCGTCCCGCTGTCCCCAGCCTGTGTCCGGCCGCCCCGCTGCCCCAGCCTGTGTCCAGCCGTCCCGCTGTCCCAGCCTGTGTCCAGTCGTCCCCCTGCCCCAGCCTGTGTCCAGCTGTCCCGCTGTCCCCAGCCTTGTGTCCCCAGCCTGTGTCCAGCCGTCCTGCTGTCCCAGCCTCTGTCCAGTCGTCCCGCTGCCCCAGCCTGTGTCCAGCTGTCCCGCTGTCCCCAGCCTGGGTCCAGTGCATGGCTGACGGGAGGGTCCTCAGGGCCTGGTTCGCTGGGCCTCACCAGCTCTGCAGACTCAGACTCACGTCCAGTTCAAGCCATGTCCTTGCTCCATGTCGCCCACCCCTCTCTCCAGCTTCCCTCACCAGGCTGTGGGCATCTGCTGAGCCCTGTGTGCCCTGCCCAGCCCCAGCAGCCAGCAGCTGTTGCCTGCCAGTGTGCCTGCGTGCATGGGACCTTCACTCTGTACCGTGTCACACATAGCCTGTGAAGCCTGGTAGCCAGTGAGTGTGTGGTGAAGCACACACAGTACTAGGATGAGACCTCACAGTGTCAGTAACCTCCAGTGTCACCTGACACCCAGGCCACAACAAGCCCCTACAACCAGGAAGTGACACTGCTGTGTGCAGAACAAAGATTGAATATAAGCTAAACTAAAGCTTGCCTTACCAGAGCTTGAAGAATCAGATTCTCCAATGCTGAGTTAAGAACACATTCTCAGGGGGCTGGGAAGGTGGCTCAGTGGTAGAGCGCTTGCCTTGCATGCATGAGGCTCTCGGTTTCATTCCTCAGCACCACATAAGCAGAAAGAAAAAAGCCGGAAGTGGCGCTGTGGCTCAAGTGGTAGAGCGCTAGCCTTGAGCTGAAGTGCTGAGGGATAGCGCCCAGGCCCAGAGTTCAGGCCCCACGACCGGACCCAAAAAAAAAAAAAAAAAACACATTCTCAATTGTCCGTCTCTTTCCTAAGGTCCTGGACTCCACATCCCTGAGTTTCAGCACCAGATTGAAGTGTTTTGTGATATGCTTCGTGGCTGGCATTTTCTTTTCTATCCTTGTGAGTTAAGGCTTTACGTTGATCAAAATTTTTGTTTTAGATTTAATCCTATTCTGTACTAAAAAGCAGTCTACTTTAACTTGCTGTTAGATTATTTTGATGGAACATACCACCTGACGTAAAGGGGTAGAGACTGATGTTTAAAAAGATGTGGAAATTAAGCTGGGTGCTGGTGGCTCACACCTATAATCCTAGCTACTCAGGAGGCTGAGGTCTGAGGATCGACCTTTCCAGCCTGGGCAGGAAAGTCTGTGAGACTCTTATCTCCAATTAACTACCAGAAAACCGGAAGTGGCACTGTGGCTCAAGTGGTAGAGTGCTCGCCTTGAGCTGAAGAGCTCAGGGACAGTGCTCAGGCCCAGAATTCAAGCCCCATGACCAACCAAAAAACAAACAAATAGATAATAAATAATAAAATAAATAGAAAGGTGTAGAAATTGTTCTTTGGGGATATGGGGAATGGTTGAAATAATTCTATTTTAAAAACCAGTGTGTGATAAGAGAATGCAAGGCAGAGATAGGTGTGTTTATGGCCTGTTTTAATTTGCCAGTCAGAATGAACATTTAACTTCAGGAGTAAGATTTACAAAGATAGTTTTGTTGCATTTCATTTATGTATATAAACACGCTTCTCACAGAGTCTGTGTATTGCTGCTGCAGTAACACGTTTGTGTTTGTAGCCAATACAAACTTACTTGTGTCTGTAATGTCTAATTTAGGGAACTGGATTGCTGTGGCTTTCCAACAAAAAGCTTTTTGCCGTGTTTTACACCCTTGGGAATCTTTCTGCATTAGCCAGGTATGTATATATCTTTAGCTGCCAGACTTGCCTTCTAATGAGTACCTTGCTCCTTACATCTTGCAGATTCAGCAGTTTGTTCATTCTGTACAGTGATTGGCCTCTTTTGTGTGCCAGTTACCATGGCAGAGTGCTTACACTGGCAGTAAGGCGCTGTGCATTGGGCTGGGCTGGGCCACAAGAGGTAGCTGCTGGTGCCATCCCTGTAACATACTGCCAGGTGGGGACAGGCTTCCTCCTAAAATGGTGGATAGTGGGTCCCCAGCCCAAGCTTGTAGCTGATTCCCCTGCCCACAGTGAGCCCCCAGCCCACTGCTTTCACAGTACTCCAGATGGGGCAGTTCATAAAGAACCAACATTTATTTATAATTCTGGAAGCTGAGAATGCTATGATTATTAAGTAAACTAGCATAGCTTCTTGGTTGAAAGGTGGTCTATTTTTGCATAGTCTCAGGGATTCGTAGAGCCCTTCTCGGTTTTGTATTTGTTTCCCATAGTACTTGCTTTCTGATGGGACCCGTGAAGCAGCTGAAGAAGATGTTTGAAACCACACGGTTGCTTGCAACAGTTATCATGCTTGTAAGTAAATAATGCTATGGGTTTGGGTTTTTTTTTAAAGTTTTTTTTGGGGGGGAGCAGTCATGGGGCTTGAACTCAGGGATTAGGTGTTGTCCCTAGCTTTTGTACTCAAGGCTAGTTAGTATTCTACCACTTGAGCCAGAGCTCCACTTCCAGCCTTTTTGGTGGTTAATTGGACGTAAGAGTCTCACAGACTTTCCTGCTCTAACTGGCTTCCTATGTGATTCTCAGATCTCAGCTGTCTAAATAGGATTACAAGTGTGAGTCACTGGCACTCAGCCTTAAAATACTTTTATTAATGTATTTTTACTACTGCTTTGTGAGTGTTGCTATCTTATCATGCTCAAGACAATGTAATAAAAAGGGATGTGTCTCAAGGCTGTGTGTTAAAGATTTTGGGTGGTACAGTGCCATGTGTAACTACAACTGAATGTATTTTCTTTTTCTTTCTTTTTTTTTTTTTCTTTCTGGTACTGTCTTGGGGCTTGAACTACTCAGGGCTGGAGACTATCTCTGAGCTTTCCTTTTTTGGGCTTAGCATTCTACCACTTTAACCATAGCTCCATGTCTAGCTTTCTGCTGATTAACTGGAGATAAGTGTCTCACTGACTTTTCTGTCTGGACTGTCTTCAAACTGTGATTCTACGATCTCATCTCAAGCCCCCTGAGTAGCTGGAATTACAGGCGAGAGCTGCTAGGATCTGGCTGAGTTTCATTAAGACCTATAGATTGTTGGCCTGTCTACTGCTTGGGGGAAACAGGGAGCGGTGAAGGGCGGCGGGTTGCTCTGAGTCGGTCTCTCTGCGTCTGTCTCAGGTGAGCTGTCTCAGGTCCTCTGGCTTAAGCCATCCTGACCGTGTGGCTTCTGTGTTAAGACCTTGACGCAACTCTTCACACAGTGGGCTCTGTCCTGGCTCTAAGTGTGCTCTCTACCTTGGGGTTAGGGGTGCGGCGAGAAGGCTTATGGTTGTGGTTAGAAGGTTTTCCTCATGGCAGGGTGTGGGTGTTGTTTTGTCGGTGTTCTGTGTGAGGTGGGCATTAGGAGGGGCCCCATTCTCTTCTCCTGTCATCATGCCTCTGCTTCTTTACTCGATTTCTTTTGTCTGGAGGCATTTTGATGCTTCCATAATATACACAGCAGTACTAGCAGTTTAGCTTTTATTTTACTGTTAACTATATACAAACCTACACAACGTTAACCTGCAGGTAAAAAATGTTTATCACTAGCTTGTCTGCCAGACATTTTCTCACCAGAAAAAAAAAACTCCCTTTTTGACATGATTTTATTTATTATCTCTTTATTCAGCGTGAATGTTATTACTGTGTATTTATAGCTCTTGTAGTTATTTTACATAGGTTAGCTTATGTATCGGTATGTTTACCTGGATTAATACTGAATTACCTTCTACTGGCAGTGTACATTCCAATGATACTTTACTAAGATTTGTTCTAAGATGTTCTGGCATTTATCATTAACCTTGGAAGCTGTCTGTCAGGATGTCTGGAGGTACAAAATACCTCCCTAAATCTCAGGGCCATGTATGACCCACCGTGATCCTGGCTTGTCACCGGGCTTCATGGAGAATGGGGTCGGACGGCACAGTTGCTCGAGCGATGGTGGAGACCAGCTTCCCTCTTGAGCCAGCCAGCTCCTGCTCTGTTGTATGGCAGAAAATCCACATTCTGAGTTTTCATTGTAGCAGACCGTTAAGCAAGCAGACAGTGCATGTCTCATGCTAAAAAGGTGACAGGGTCTACACAGAATCTGTAATGGAGCCAAGGTCTCTCCAGGTCATGGTCAGGCAGCCTCTGACCGGCCTTTCCTGCTTCCTGAGATGGGACATTTGGCATGGAGGGATGCACAGGCTTTCTGTGTGAAGCATGTTTACTCCTACTTTGTACAGCCAAGTGCAGGGGGCTGCAGTGAGCTCACAGGCGTGGGGCACAGTGACCACCGTTAGCAGAAGCATCTGTAAGAAGAGCAGTGTCACTGAACACTCTTCAAGTGTTGCACACTTAATCCACACACTAGTCACCAAGCTTCAGTTTGCTGTCATGAACTTGAGAAAACAATCGGGTATGTAGGTAGAACTAGATTTTCTTCCAGTGAGTTCCCGTGGACAGATACAGGACAGTCCATCCCAGTGAGTTCCCATGGAAAGATGCAGAACAGTCCATCCCAGTGAGTTTCCTTGGACAGATGCAGGACAGTCCATCCCAGTGAGTTCCCGTGGACAGATGCAGGACAGTCCACCCCAGTGAGTTCCCGTGGACAGATGCAGGACAGTCCACCCCAGTGAGTTCCCGTGGACAGATGCAGGACAGTCCACCCCAGTGAGTTCCCATGGACAGATGCAGAACAGTTGTGTGCTTTGACTCGGCTTCTGGAGGGCCTCTGACCACCCCCCTGTCTGTTCTCTTTCCTCCATAGCTGTGCCTCGTCTTTACCCTGTGCGCTGCTCTGTGGGTAAGTAGTGTGAGCTGGGCAGCCTTCCTGCCAGCTGTTACCTTTCCTCCTGAGGTGTCATCACTTCAAAATAGCTCAGTCCTATTTTATAAGGCTCCCAGGGGTCACAAGTTAAATGGACAACCCGTTGGCTAGATGGAGAGGATGGTGTCGTGTGTGAGTGTAACAGCATTGTGCTGTCTCTGGCTGGTGCTTCTCACGGTGTGCTGATGTGGGTCCTCCCTTGGGTTCCCCCGTGGGCTCCTGAGCCACCGTAGGGCAGGGGCAGGTGACAGGGTGCTCAGACTGAGGGAGAGAAGGCAGGGAACCAAGCAGACCAGTAGGAAGGGTACAGAGAGCCTCAGCCATGGACCACTTGTGGACACTGGACCCACATCTTTAGTCTCTGGTGATGGGACATAATGACAGCCCGTGTCACTAACTGGGGCTTCGGGTTCTTCATTAGATCTGCCTGTGTTTTGTACTTACCTGCTTCCAAAAGGCCTTGGGCACTTCCTGCACTAGCAAGCAGACTGTACACTGGGAAAAACAAAGGCAAGGGCTGGGATGCATTTCAGTACTAGAGTGACTGCCTGCCATGGGTGAGACCCTGGGTCCAACCCCAGCACCACAGAGGAAGAAAGGGGCTTAATAGGTGTGTGTGTGTGTGTGTGTGTGTGTGTGTGTGTGTGTGTGTGATGTACATAAAGTGTATAATTTATTTTAAAAATATCTGTCAAAATATACTGACTTTTATGTTTGGACCAACTTTAATTTTATGACATATAGATTTCATTTTCTTACGATAATAATATTCTTGGGGCTGGGAAGGTGGCTCAGTGGTAGAGCGCTTGCCTTGCATGCCTGAGGCCCTGGATTCAATTCCTCAGCACCACATAAGCAAAAAGAAAAAAGCTGAAAGTGGTGCTGTGGCTCAAGTGGTAGAGCACTAGCCTTGAGCTGAAGAGCTGAGGGACAGCGCCCAGGCCCAGAGTTCAGGCCCCACGACCGGACCCAAAAAAAAAAAGAGAGAGAGAAAAAAAAGAAAAAATGGGGTTGGGGAGGTGTTAGGAAAATGTGGTGCTACATAAACGTTATTAGCCAGCAGAAACGTATATAGTCTCTATGTTGAAATGCAACTGTCATTTTCTCTTTCCAGACAAAGGTGTTGACTAAGTAGTAGAGTAAAAACAAAACTTAATTCTAGTCTTAAGACTGATAGATTGGGGAAAAGATTCTGGTGAGACTTGGCTGTGCTTCTCTGAAATTTTGAGATATGATGTATATTTTAAAACACAGCAAAATTGTATACAAAATAAGAACAATGAAGGAAATTAGTATCTCTTTGTTCCATCATATATGGGTAATTGTTTTTGATGAACAGCTACAAGGAGAATAAAAACAGTCCCCTACAGGTAGGAAAGTGCAGAACAAGTGTGTGAAGGTGTCACAATTCCTGCAGGGCCACTCAGTGGCCTGGGCCTCCTCACCTCTGGTGAGACACGAACCGCCCTCCCCCAGAGTCCTGCCCTGGAGAGCAACTTGTGACATGCAGAACAAGTCTCAGATGTTATTGATGGGTAAAAGGATGAGTATCCTTTATGTAGTAGTGTAAACATACAGAAGAAGTACAAAAGGTGGTTTATCACCTTGATCGGTATTTCTCATTGATTAATATTTCTGGAAGTCTTAGGAGTCCATGATAAATATGTTGCTTTCAAAATCTCTCTCTGCCTCTGGCACCACGAGGCAAGCAGCCCTGCCCCATGGCGCACTCTGTCTCCTGGGGAACTTTGCCTCCTCACCTGGGGGCCATGAGGGAAGCTCTCCTGGGTACCCCCTGTCGGGCCAGTCCAGCACAAAAGAGAGTAAGGGAGTGCCAGAGACAGCGTCTGGATGCACAGAGCTGGCACAGCCAGGCCTATGAGAGAACACGTGTTCAACTTTCTCTTACCATGATGATCTCCAGTTCCAACGTTTTCCTGCCAACATATCTTAATGGGTGAATGATATTCCACTGTGTATATATACCACAGTGAACCTTCTCCACTGACCATTGATGGGCACCTGGTTTGATTCTGTGACTACAGTGTTGAGGCTAGGGCCAAACATGGGTATGTAGGCAAGTGTACAGTGCATTAGCTCTTTTAAAAATCTATGCTTTCACTAGATTAGTTTTGACTTTTTTTTTCCATGTGGGTCCTGAGGCTTGAACTCAGGATATGGGTTTTGTTCAGATGCTCAAGGCTAGCACTCTACTACTTGAGCCAAAGCTCCATTTCCCACTTTTTTGGTGGTTAACTGAAGTCCTGCCTGGGCTGGCTTCAAACCAAGATCCTTAGGTCTCAGCCTCCTGAGTAGCTAGGATTATAGGTGAGAAGCCACCAGTGCCCAGGTTGAATTTATTTATTTATATTGATCAACAAATGTGATGGTAAAGATTTTAGAGACAAATACCATTGAAGAATTGGCAGGGCTGGGAATGTGGCTGAGTGGTAGAGTGCTTGCCTAGCATATATGAAGCCCTGGGTTCGATTCCTCAGTGTCACATAAACGGAAAAAGTCAGAAGTGGTGTTGTGGCTCAAGTGTAGAGTGCTAGCCTTGAACAAAAGAAGCTTAGGGACAGTGCCCAGGCACTGAGTTCAAGCCTCAGTACAAATATCTCCGCCTCAGCTTTTACTTTCAAGTTGTAGATACCACCTGTTTAGTTCATCAGAATCCCAGTAGTGTCCGATTGTCCCTGTAGTTGTGTTTTTGGGGAATGTGACTGTCTCCTGCCTTCCTCTTCTCCAGGGATGCTGTTCTTAAGTGCTGCTCTTCTCTCCTAAGCTGAGTGTCCTAGCGTGCTTTTACAGGACGGAAGCACTGGCGTGCTGACAGACAGTGTTTGAGATAGTGCTGGTGGACGTGCTGTGTCTGAAGTACACAGTTCCCAACAGAGCTGTCAGTCACTCCAGAGCCAGCCCTCTGGAGCTGAAGACCTTCTCCTGTACTGGTGAACACACGCACCACCGACACCATTCCTGCCGGTGGCCTGCATTCACTCTGTGTCGTTAACCTGCTTCCAAACCTAAACTGTTCCTACTGGTGGCCTGCAGTCTGTGTTGTCAACCTGCTTCCAAAGATAGGAGGCGCCTAATCATTGCCAGTTGTAGATAATTTTCCCAGAACAGCTTCTGAGGTGTGAATATCTAAGAGCCAGATCTGTGCTGCAGGGTGCATTCAGCTTACTTGGTTTTAAGACCTTTTTTAACTTTAAAAATGTGAAACTTTATATCTTAAAGTTGCTTATTACATGTAATAAAAATAATATATATCTTTACAATTTCAAAATAAACCCACTCTTGGAAAAGTAACAATTTTTACAATTAAATTTATTTTAAGTGGTTCAGTTTAATAAAAGTATCAGGCACTCTTGTAATCTCTGTAGACTATGGTGCAGGTGCAGGCCTTGTGTCAGCCATACCCTGAGAACTGCGTACGAGGAGACCAGGTAGGGGCCTGGGAGGAGGGGGCAGAGGCCAGGCCACCAGGTGCAGAGGATGGAGGAGCCAGGGGACACAGGTGAGGAGGAGGGAGGGGCAGGGGACGCAGGTGAGGAGGAGGGAGGGGCAGGGGACGCAGGTGAGGAGGAGGGAGGGCCAGGGGACACAGGTGAGGAGGGGGGAGGGCCAGGGTGTCTTTGGGACCTGCCGGAGCCTGCCAGCAACAAAAGGGAATCCTGATTTAGGGCAAGGATGAGAAAAAAAAAGACTCAGGACAAAGGATGGGGTCGGGAGGTCTGCAGCTCAAGACTGCAGCACCGTTTACTTTTAACTTTCCCTCATGTATACTGTTAGAAGTCAAGAAGTAGCATAAGGTTACTATAGTCCAGAAAAACAAGGAAATTTTCAGTAAAAACAGTGCAGTAAAAACAAGACAAGGTCAACTGGTTGAAAGTAAAACAGACTCTGCAGACAGCAAAGCAGTCCCGGCCCCTGGTGTCTTTCAAGTAAGCCGGCTTCTTGTATGTGCCTTCAAGCAATCACGGGCGTCAAGGTGACCTTGGAGCTTTACTGTTGGCTCCCAGTTGGGAAGGAGTGGGGGCGCTGCGTCCTGGTGCCCCACCCCGCCTGGCCCTGTGTGGCCAGTGGCAGCGGGGAGGGGTGAGGAGCAGCGTGAGCCCGGTGAGCAGGTGCCGCAGTGCAGGGCCCCTCTGGCGGGGCTCTGGCGGCTCACTGGCCACAGCTGGCTGCCCTCATCACCATGGAGGTGAGTGCGGTGCCGGGCACCACGGGGAGTTCAGGTGGTGCCCTGAGTACCATGGCCTCCGGATCCTGCCGGTCGGCATCCTCTGCATTGGTGCAGGAAAACGCAATGCGGAGCATTCACTGCGCCGTGCGTGGTCCTGCTTGGGCCCGGGCAGGAGCACCGAAGATAGGTTCCCGGGAGCCACGGGTGTGAGGCCCAGCTCAGCTGCAGCAGGATGAGACCAGGACAGGCGGGCAGAGGAAGAGGTGTCACTGCAGAGCGCACGTCCCAAATAGCAGGTGAGGATGGCGGTATGATGAAGGCGTTCGGCACTGCAGCCGCCGGGGGCAGGACACCTTTCCCGGGACCCCGCTGCGGTCTCGCTGTAGTTGGATTCTTCACTTTGCTCTGCGAGCCCCACGTCACCTCGTCCTGCCCTGACCGGGCACCTGCAGGAACACTGGAGGTGGAGGAAGCAGAGCTGCAAGCCCACTGAGAAATGTCTCTTGCGTTCATTCCTGTCCAGATTCTTGGAACTCAAATGCTGTCTGCAGGCCTTGCCCACTTCCTTGGCTGGACTCAGCTTGACCCCCAGCAGCAGGGGCAGGGGTCAGCTGGCAAGCCTGCAGCCAGGCCACACAGGTGGCACACAGTGCCCTTGCTGAGGGTCATGTGCGCAGAGCACATAGACCTGTCTTCACAAAGACCCCTGCTTTTAAGAGCACAGGTTGGGGGCCTCGCCAGCGTACTCTGTATTGGCTCAGGGTCATGCCAGGACAGAGCAATGCTGAGAAGACGTTCACCATGGGGTGCTCATGGCCTTGGGACCGAGACACGAAGAGAGAGAGAAGGCACACAAGGCTCGCACTTGTCCCCTTGTTGCTGGCTGCTCTGGGGCCTCCAGTGCTGTGGGCAGTGGGACGGGGTGCCTGACAGCGCACAGACGCTCATCTGGTTGAGTCTGCTCCATCCCTCCCCTGTGGGGAGAGGCTGTGTTGGCAGTCTGCATCCCCAGTCACTTTTCTTCTAGTTATAGCTGTTGTATGTGGGGGGGGGGGGGTTCCAAGCCAGTCCTTAGCATGGCCGTCTGCGGTCTGTCCCGGGCCGCAGTGTGAACGGGTCACACGTGAGTGTCCAGACCCGTGGTGGCTGCCAGAGAGCACAGTGAGGGAGGCGACCCTCGCTTAGGATGTGGAGTCCAGCGCCGTGGCTGCTCAGGACGTGATTCTCTGCAGCGACTGCTGATCTAGGGTGAAACCTCAGCACATCTTATGACCCCAAAACACCTGACGATGACATGGGACTCGGAGCTCCCCATCACCTGAGCTCTGGTGGAGGGGGCTGCAGGTACTGAAATGGACTGGTGCCACCACATTGCTGCTGGTCTGAGGAGCTCGAGGGTGACAGAGCTGGCCTGGAGGCATGGCTCAAGTGGTTGAGCACTAGCCAAGGAAGCAAGACAAATTCAGCAAAAATCAAGTTCAGATTAGATGACTTTATCACCGTATCATGTCTAATTAATTGAATCAAAGTTCAGAAACAGCATGAAGAATAGGATGAGATGTTTTGAAGTTCTTCTGTATGCATTACATATGCCTCATGAAAGGAAGATTTAACAAAATTTTAACTTAAAGAATAATGGCTGGCTGGGCACTGCTACCTCCTAGGTATTCAGGAGGCTGAGATCTGAGGATCATGGTTCAAAGTCAGCCTGGGCAGAAACGTCCCCATGAGCCTCTTACCTCCAGTTAACCACTCAAAAACTGGAAGTGGAGCTGTGGCTCAAAGTGTTAGAGCCTGAGCCTTGAGCGAAAGCGCTCAGGGACAGTGACCAGGCCCTGAGTTCAACCCCCCGCAACTGCCAAAAACAAAAAAAAGCAAAAACCCAATCATGGCTAACTTCCTGGTCACAGGTGGTGATGGCCAGTTGACCTGAACATAGTGGGGTG